ATGGATGCATGGATGTATGGATGTATGGATGTATGGATGTATGTATGTATGTATGTATGTATGTATGTATGTGTATAGATACATATAGAGTCTGCCCAAAAACATGGATAGTGTAGGAGTGCACTTGAGTGTTGTTTTTGGGGTTGTGGATCGGCTGTTCTGCTGCTCACAAAAATTTCAGCAAGATCAGTTCTGCTGATTGTTCTTGACCCGGCAATACCCAACAAGTAGTCCAGGAATCCCAACCGTACCAACCGCTCGCCCCTTTCTTGTTGGAGTCATGCCCAAAGGCTGCCCAGAAGGAGGGAGAGCGGGTGCAGAAGCTGTCTGAAAACGCTGCTCTCATGCACTCAGTGAAAGCGAAGTGTCACGGATCTCATTCTTCTGGCTCAGGATTCAATGTATCCTTCAGGGTGCAGGAAAAGGTAAGGGCGTTATGGGGGGTTTGCGCATACCCGGCTCAGAAGCATCCTTCAAGGTTTCCTTTAGGGTTTAGGGTTTAGGGTTTAGGTTTCCTAAACTCCTCTAGCTTTTTGTTGCTGACTGTATGTCACTTTTGCGCGCATATGCGCAGAGTGCTTGTTCTGCAATGCAGCCTGAGAGCCCACAGCCCTACCCTTAGCATCAAAATAGCCCAAAAGCCTTATATAATAGGGCCGCAAAACCTTAAAATATGAGTCCTTTGAGGGTAAGGGCTATAGTTACATGTTATGCAAGCGAATTGCGAAGCCAAGCTGCGGCGGGTGTTCCTTGTCTGAATTGGTTTCGCCGTGGTTTGGCTTTACCAAGTCTGAAGTTGACGAATTTTGGCGGATAGTGACAGAAGATTTTGGGTTGAGGGGGTCACGAAGACTCCTGTCACCGCGAAGATAGCTTCAAAATCCATGCCTCTAGGCTGCTCCGCTGTCCCGTCGAAGTCCTTTCCTGATCCGCTGCAAAGCCCTGAGCCCTTATAACCCATAAACCGAAAACCGGTTTCAACCCTAAACCAATCTTGAACCTGAGGCACCATCAACATTCCGAAGCCCATCTATCCTAGGAATCCTACGCCTCAAAGCACCCTAAACTCCTAAACCCTAAACCCCAAACCCCTAAACCCTAAGCCCACACAAAAAACTCAAAAGCCTCAGCCTAAGCCTTCGCAAGATCTCAGGTCTTCGATCAGGCAAGCCCTAGACCCTAGATAATCCTGAAACAGCCAGACCCTAACCCTACACAATCCTGAACAGACCCTAAACCCTATAGAATCCTGAAACAACCAAACCCTAAACCCTATAGAATCCTGAAACAATCAAACCCTAAGCCCCATGGAATCCGAAAACAACCAAACCCTAAACCCAATACAATCCTGAAGCAATCTAGCCCTAAACCTACCATATAATCCTGAAACAACCAAGCCTTACAAACCCTAAAAGCCTCTAAACCCTGCGCCTAAAACCCCTGCGAAAGCTCTCAGGTCTTCAATTGGGCAAGCCCTAAACCCTATATAATCCTGAAACAGCCAAACCCTAGACCCCTAAACCCTAAACCCTATACACCCTAAACCCTTATAAACCCTACTCTCAGGTCTTCAATCGGGCGATGAGTTTGGTCATCGAGAAGAAAGCAGAGCTCTTCGCTTACTGGGAGCTCCCCGGCTCGAATTCTTCTTCGGATGGGTCTATAGGGTTTAGGGTTTTAGGGTCTAGAGGGTTTATAGGGTTTATAGGGTTTAGGGTCTATAGGGTTTAGGGGTTCAGGGTTTAGGGTTTAGGGTTTATAGGGTTTAGGGTGTTTGGTGTTTAGGGTTTAGGGTTTAGGGTTTAGGGTTTAGGGTGTATAGGGTTTAGGGCCTAGGGCCTCGAGTTCTACTTCGGATGTTTAGGGTTTAGGGTTTAGGGCTGAGTGTACATCAAATGGAAGTTTAGGGTTTAGGGTTTAGGGCCTCTTAGGGAAGTTTAGGGTTTAGGGCTGCTATAAGTCTGCGCCTCCTGAATTCGAGAGTATAGGGTCGCTACTTCGGATCGGGTTTAGGGTCTACGGTTGACGATATAAGTCCTGCATTACCCAGAAGTAGGAGTAGTACCATAGTTCCCATAGTTTAGGGTCCTTAAGGTAATGCAGGATCTATGTCATCAACAGTGGGGCCGTTTAGGGGTTTTAGGGTTGCCATAAGTGTGCTGGTTAGTTGGAGGGCTTGAAATATAGAGACCTTAGTAAATCGAACAGGGATTTCTGGGGTAGTTCTATGATTCTATAGAAGTCGAATAGGGTTTTAGGGAGATCATGCTGGAGACCCCTTTATTACCCCAAGGATCCATGGGCCCAAATATAGTGTGTACTTGGGCCCCAAAGTACCTGCCTAGGGATGACATGAAGGCTAAAGTATATACTTGTATACTATACATGAGTTTTTGAACTAGGGGTCCATGTATATTCTTGTATACTATATGGATTTTTCAACTCTTAGGGTTGGGGTTGCGGGTTTGGCGCTTGTGCAAGATACTTACCCAAGTCAAGCAGTCCTTCCTGTATAGCATAGCTTATTTTCTATTCTGTCCAAGTCCGTAGGATCTTGGGGGATTAGATGCGTTGGAAACCCTGACTGGCGCAGATGCCCTTGAACTGTACCCGACAGGCTCATCGGAAGCCATTGCCTAGCTCGGCAAAGCCTCAAGCTGTGATACATGAGCCATTTTGTCCTTTCTTCAATCAGGGTGCTTCAATTCCGGCAAGAGTCGTCTCTTGATTATGCACCCCAAGGACCCAAGGAAGCCAAGATATCAGAGACCTCTTTCAAGCTTTCAGCCAAGGCAGTGTGACACAACGCCGCCCAGGGCTCAGCATGGAGGGCATGTCTACATCCCACATCAAAGTCGCGTCGCTATCTTTCCTGTAGTCTCCATTGTAGGTCCTTCTTTGGTTGAACCATTTTTTATAATTAGGATCCTATAAGGTGACCCCCAAAAGGAACTACAGGTTATATCCCATGCCGAACCCCCACAGAACAAAACAACAAAAGCCGAGAGACTCCCCCGGCCTGAAGGTGCTCGGGTTGAAAGTTTTGGGTTTAGGGTTAGGGTCTAGGGTGAATTAAGGGTTTAGGGTTTAGGGTTAATTAAGGGTTTAGGGTTTAGGGTTAATTAAGGGTTTAGGGTTTAGGGTCAATTAAGGGTTTAGGGTTTAGGGTTATTTACAGATTTCGGGTTTAGGGTTAATGAAGGGTTTAGGGTTAGGGATAATGAAGGGTTTAGGGTTTAGGGTTAATGAAAGGTTTAGGGTTTAGGGTTAATTAAGGGTTTAGGGTTTAGGGTTAATTAAGGGTTTAGGGTTTAGTGTTAATTAAGGGTTTTGGGATTAGGGTTAACTAAGGATTTCGGGTTTAGGGTTAACTAAGGATTTCGGGTTTAGGGTTAGTGAAGGGTTTAGGGTTTAGGGTTAATTAAGGGTTTAGGGTTTAGGGTTAATTAAGGGTTTAGGGTTTAGGGTCAATTAAGGGTTTAGGGTTAATTAAGGGTTTAGGGTTTCGGGTTAATTAAGGGTTTAGGGAGCCCAGCCCAAAGGGCTCGCAGAAGAGAGCAGCGAAGCGCCTAAGCCCTGGAGTCCTGGAGCCTACAGACTCAACATCGCGAACCTGCCCGCTCCCCTGAAGCCCAAAAACCCGGACTTTGGCGACGGAAAAAGGCCCTCAAATAAAGAGAAGAGCCTTAAACCCTGAACCCCAAACAAAAAAGCTGAAGCGCATTCCGATTTCTTGAAGGCCACGTGGCTTCATCAGCAAGCGCGATTGGGAGGAGATCTCGTCAAGGGGGTCTGAGACATTTGGACCCCAATGCAAAGCCCCCACTACTCGGATCCTTCATACAAGCTAGACTCCAAACCCTTAAATCCATAAACCCCCAAGGCCCAGACCCCAATCCACAAACCCCCCCCCAATAAAATGAGGTACCACTCATGTTTCAAGCTTTCTGAAACCCCAGCTCCGAGCTTCCGAGAATTAGGGGGGAGGGGGGGGGGGGGGTCTGACCAAGTACCAAGATGGCAGAGCTGCTTTTTTCACCAGCATATGCTACATTGGTGTTTAGATCGTAGAGATTTTTTGGGACTAGGAATTTCTAGCTTCTAGGAACCTCTAGGGATCTCTAGGAATTGTTAGGAATTTCTAAGAATATCTAGGCGTTGGAGGTCGTTTGGCAGGGCCTTAGTAGGCCTTTCAAGTCGGTGGATCCCGGCCTCTGAACTCTGCAAGAGGAGCCCCTATAGAGTTTAGACTTTGGGAATTAGGGGGTTTTAGGCCCCTAAACCCTAATCCTAAACCTTCCACCCTAAACTGTTGTAGGGAGCTAGGGTTCAGGGCTTCAAGACTCTTAACTTGCGGCACTTCTCCCTGTCTTCCTTATCAGCTCAGGGCCTAAGGACCAACATCGAAAGCGTTCTGATTGCATCTGATACTTCCGCAGCTCCAGAGAAGTCGGATTTAGGCTTTAAGGTGTAGGAGATTAGGGACTAGTGGTCAGGTGATGAGGTGATCAGGGTTCAGGGCTTAGGACTCAGTTTTCATGTTCGTGAAAGCGCAAAGCCAATGTGATATCAGAAACAATATTGGATGTATGTTGGGTCTCGCGGGCTTGGGCTTGTAGATTCGAAAAGCCAAAGGTCGAAAAGTAAATTCCTGAACAAACCCGTTTCGATTTTGAGCCATGCCACGTGCTGCTGTGTTCCCGGCGCTCTTGGGCGGCGGTGATGGCGGCTACAGCGCAGACAGCAAGGCCACGGCCTAGGGCCTAGGGGGAAGGAGTTATCTGTACAATCGGATCTTTGGTGCTTTGGGGTTTGGAGCGGTTTAGGGTATAAGGTTTATGGGTTTGGGGTTTGGGGTTTAGGGTATAAGGTTTAGGGGTTTAGGGTTTGGAGTTTAGGGATAAGGTTTAGGGGTTTAGGGTTTGGGGTTTAGGGTATAAGGTTTAGGGGTTTAGGGTTTAGGTTTTAGGCTGTCTAGGGGTTTAGGGTTCAGGTTTAAGGTGTTGGGGGGGCGCATAGGCTAGGCCATAGGCTTGTCCGACTTGCAGAGGGGGTCGGGAGAACGAAGGGCAAGCTTTGGTTTGAGACAGCTTCACACAATCACGATCATAGCCGTCGGCAAATCTAGTCATAGTTCTAATCATAGTATCCTTTTACAATCCATGTACAACCATAAGAATTGTAGCATAAAGCACCGTGTAATCCCCAAACCCCACTGTTCATCTACTCACAAAAACTCCTAGTCTAATCAACAAGTTCTCTATGTTCCCAAAAGGTCCTATGTACGGGGATACTTCCC